CACAGAGCTGCGGGTCCTACCCGAGATGGGTGGACGGGGATTTTCGTCAGCTTCGAATGGGTCTCTTTGAAGATTATTCTGGAGCTCATGTGAAGTTCTTTTGACGATGTTGTTATCATAACCTTGCTTAAGGAACTGACTTAGAGGAATATTATTCCGACGGTAGGACCCCACATGATAATATGTTCAACTTGCCCCTCGCTTTTTCCCATTCGCCTTGGCGGAGGCTCTCCTCCCGCTCTCTGTTGCGCCGCCTCTTCCCATCATCACCACGACTCACAGGAAAAGACTTGAGGGCCCTAGTTAGGTGTTTTGCCATTTTTTGTTTTGTTTTGTTTTCTCTTCTGGTCTAGCTTCCAGTATGTTTTCGGTTCCCTAGAGTTTCTGCAGGGGGGGCCCTTCCTTCCGAGGTGTCGTCGTCGTCTCCTCCTTGCTTGGGCCCCCCCATCACTCCTCTGAGGAATCTGGGGGGGGGGGAGGCCCCTCTGTCTTGTTCCGCAGGGCTCTGTGGGAAGAGCTTCCTGCAGCGGGCCACCCCTCTAGGACTCTCCTGAGGGGCGCCCTAGGCCGGCAATAGCAGTTGGCTGGGCCCATTCTATATCCTCACAGAGGCCCAATTATCTTGCTCACGGCAGGGACTCGCCTCCGACGCGCTTATCCTTATCCTTCTCCTTCGCCCTCCGTCTCCTCCTCCCCCCCTTTCCCCTCCTCCTCCTCCCCCCCTTTCCCCTCCTCCTCCTCCTCCTCCTCCTCCTCCTCCTCCTCCTCCTCCTCCTCCTCCTCCTCCTCCTCCTCCTCCTCCTCCTCCCCCCCTCGCCATCCTCTTCATTCTCCCTATCTTATCATCCTCCTGCCTGTTTCCCCCGTGCATCTCCCCTGCCTCCCGGCCAGGGCATGCCGATTTTCCTTGGCGCCGTTGCCGCCACGGCTGACATGGCCGCGTTCTCCAAAGGCCGGATCGCGAGGCCGCCAGGACAGCCCCGCTGGCGAGGCCGTTGGGGCAACCCCGCGAGCCGCTGGGGCGCGGAAACCAGCCGTTGGGACAACCCCGCAGGTCTCGAGCTAGTCGCGGCCGCGCTCAGGCGCGGAGTAGCACGACGCCCACCTTTGCCGCGAGTTGCTCCGCCTCAGTCCGGAGCTCGCAGCCACCTTGTCGAATTCTTGGGGCGCCTTCCGCAGGGGCGCCGGCGGCCCGCGCTCCACAAACTCTCGCGAGGGCGGCCGCAGGACCAGCATGTTCCGCATGCGCGTGGCACGTTCCCGTCCGTCCTCCCAGGCTGCTCCCCCAGTCGAATCCCCGTCGTGATTTCTTCCAATATGCATGTCGGAAAAGCCCGGTCGGATTCCAGGTTCCAGGTTTGTTGGCGGCCCGTTCGGGTTCCAACCCGGTTTCCCGGTCGGGATTTTCCGCAACTCACTCACAGACGAGGCTTCCATTTGGGACGTCCTCAAGATTCAGGCCTGAGGAGCCCAATGGTGACGACAGTTGCAGGGTTCGCGTGTCCCTTTCGGATTACCAAAATTAAGTGCGGGCCCCATAAAAAAGGATGCTCCCGCTTGAGACATCCTCGCAATTCACTCACAGACAAGGCTCCCGCCGGAAACTTTTTCCATATTCAGGCCTCAAGAGCCCCACAGTGGCGACAATTACAGGTTTCTGACGACCCGTTCGGATTAGTGACATGATCTGCGGGCCCCGCAGGGGCGGTGTTCCCGCCTGAGCCTTCCTCGCAATTAACACATGGACGAGGCTCCCGCCCGAGATTCCCGCCGAACTCAGAAGTCGAACATCGACGACGACACTTACAGGTTTCCGATGACTTCCTCGGATTCGTAACATGAGTTGCGGGTCCCATTAAGAAGGGGCTCCCGCCTGAGACGTCAGTGCAATTCACTCACAGACGAGGTTCCCGTCATAGACTTCTTCCATATTCAGGCTTCAGGAATTTTAAAGTGGCGACAGTTACAGGTTTCCGACGGCCCGTTCGGATTAGTGCCATGATTTGCGAGCCCCATAGGGAGGGGTTCCGGCTTGAACCCTCGCAAGTCACAAACAGACGGGGCTCCCAATTGATAGTTCTTCAATATTCAATCATGAGAAGCCCAGGCAAAATGATGAGTGGGTCAGTGATGAGTGAACGAATGAAAGATCGAGTGACACAATATGATGATGGTGGTGGTGGTGATGACGGTCGGTGACCGGTGGTGATGGTGATAGTGTTGATGATTGTGCTCGTGCGGATGTTAATGATGCTGCTGATGATGATGTGGATGTTGATCACGAACATGATGGGATGGTGACAGCGATGATGATAATGATGGTAGCTTGCACTTAATCGTGATGATGATGGTGCTTGTGATGTTGACGTGTGTGATTTGTGATGATGAAGGGAGGGTTGGGTGGGAAGATTGCGCAAGGGGGTCCAATGAAAACAATAACCCCACTTAATAAGTGGGGGCGACAGGCGAATGTTCCAATTCCAACATCTTCAACCATTACATTATATGAATAATTCTTGTATGTACGGGTTATTCACATTTTTCGTGCATGTGCGTGTGCATTGCCGAAGCAATAATTGTTTCCG